TGCTGAGGGAGCAGGATGCAGCCCCAGCCCTGCTCCTTCCTCCCACAGGTTCTTACCTTGCTGCTTTTGGGTCATCATTTTCTTGCTGTTGGTTTTCACCTTGGAGCAGTCCTTTGCTGTTTGCTTTCAAGAGAGGAAATCCTGGCACTGGGAATTCCCTGGGAAACGTGCAGCCCAGTGGGGCCAATGCTCGTGCCTGTGCCGAGGAGCTCAGGTGAACCAGCACAGGTTGTCCACAGGTCTGTTGGCAGGAGCAGCCCAGAGGATGATCAGCCTGAGAAAAGACTTGATGCTGGGGAGGAAAATGCAGCCCTTTAATCCCAGCTACCATTTGCAGTTTTGTTACTAATCCCATAAACTGAAGAGAAGGTTAATTGTGCCCAGGCCATAAGTTCTCCCAGGAAAGATTTTCCCTTTACCCCCTCCCAGACCAGCACTGCGACCCCAAACACTAAAAATAAACCATGACTTCAGCCCTGAAAGGCTAAATCTTCACTCCTTTCCCCTGGGGCTCAAAAACCTCCATGGATAAACACACTAAGGATTGCAAACTGGGAGCCTCGTGTAGGAATGAGCACACGCCAGTGCTTCCCTCCCACTGAAACAGGGGGTGCTTCCCCATGGGTGAAAAATCAGAAATGAGTGAAAACATGAGTTGTGACTGTGCTGAGCCACCCCAGACCTCTTGGGACAGCACTGCATGGAACTGGGGTGCCTGCCAAGCCCATTCTGCTCACAGAGACACAGAGGAGGCCGAGCACAAGCTGACTGGAGCAAGGGACATCTCCTCTCTTGGGGAGTCCATTCCATACACACAGGTCCCTGTGTCCCCCTGCCTTGACTCCAGGGTCACCTCTTGTGACGTGCCATCCCCGGTACGACAGCTCCGGCTGGTGGCTGCCGAGGGCTGGAAACAGCACTCCCATGGAAACACTCAGGAGAGGGAACGGAGTTATGCCAAGGAAATGCCTGATCTTCCTGATGGTATCCTAATGGTATCCATCTCCCAAACCACAAGGGACAGGAGACATGGCAGATGCTTCTGCGGAACACCCGACGTGCACCGAACACACATCGCTGCTGCCTTCCCACAATGAGGAGGGAGATTTAATTACACACAAACTCTACTAAATCAAGGAGAGAGACAGTTGAAAACAGGGTAGGAAGAAACCCAACATTTAATTCAATTTATTTAGCAGCATCTTTATTGCAACAAAGGTTTCGTAATAAAACGCAGCAAAACTAATGTCTCCACTTTACATGATTAAAAGCCATGGAGCTCGGGAGGGTGGGAGGGAGGGAGCCCAATAAACCCACTGGAGTGAGACATGCAATTTTGTTAATGCAAACAGCAGGCACTTCATGTTCTCAAATTAAACACCTGAACTTCTACTGTGCACAACAGCCAAGTAAAAACAGGGAGATCTCTCTTCCCCCTCCAAAGGGGCACACGGGAAGGCCCTACAGGGCCCTGGTACTCAAACAGGCAGCTCAAGGCAGTGTCCTCATCTGGCTGATGCTTCAGTTACTGAGACTCGGTTATTGCCTTGGCAGAAGTTGGGTGTCACATGCCAGCAGCCTGTCTGACACACAGACACCCAGCAGGAACACAACCCACTTCTCCTGGCAGGGAATACGGGTTGGGACCCCCGGGATGGGAGTTTGTGAGTTCTCCATGATTTCCCACCCAGTCTCAGACGTAGGTGCTCCAGGGTTCAAGCATTACCACACCATCCCGCTCAGAAAGTTTTTCCATAGCCTATTCCCAAACACCACTAATAAGTAGGGAATGCATTTTCCATTCTAATACAATGAAGTTAGTTATTTTCAAAGCTTTACTCAGTGCTTTGAGCTCGTTATTCCATTGAGTTTGTAAAAAATAAGCAGTTGTAGGTAGGTACTAATTTTACTTTGTTCTGAATAAAAAGAGACCATGAGAAACAAAGGGGGTGGGGGTGAAACCCAACAGCTCTGCACATCCCACACTCACGAGGCATCACTGGAAGCTGCATTAAAATGGGGTGAAAGAACGTGCTTCCACCAGAAACAAGCACAACCCATCCCAAGCACCTCAAAAGGGGGGGAACTGCTGGCACCAACACTCAACAATTCAGTATCTCAGCACTCAGATCCCCATATTTCACATATACCCTTAAATATATGAAAACATTCATCTCAAAGACACCTGTGCCACCACCAAGGAAGGCTCAGTCCTGCTCCTGCTCAGAGCAGGTGTCCTCTTGGACATTCCAGCCTCTGGTTTGGGAGCCATAGGGATGGCTTCCTCCTCCAACCTCCCTTGCACGTGCTCCCCCAGTTCTGCTGAAAACTCACTAGTTCTGCTGAAAACTCACATTAACCAAGAGATTTTTTTTAACATGCAGAAAGTGACAAAGTATAATCCCAAATATCAAACAGGCTGGAAACCTCCTCGAGCAACATTCCCATCTCCAGGACTGTAAGGTCAGACCAGCACCTCACCATAGGAGGTGCAGGAATACCACTCCCCCTAAAAATATGGATACAACAGTCCCTCAGCACTGACACCACCTTCCTACCTCTGCAGTCTCAATCACAACAGGCTTTGCCCTTCTTCACTGGGAATTTAGCTGGAATCAGACTTCATCTAAGGCATCTCTTCTGCAAGAACTACAAAACTCTGGTGATAAATCCTCCAGCACTTCCACAGGATAGGAGAGCACGGGGTCTTAAAGTGCTTAACTACGGTAAAAAGGAAAGAAAATGGTGGGAAAGGAAGAATCCATAATTTATGTTGCAAAACAGAGCAGTTACAGTACGTTGTACTTTAATAGCTTTTCGATGTGTATATTTAAAACAGGGGAAGGATGCATTATTAAAAGTTATATGTCAGCGCTTATAATCACATCCTGCCTCAAATCCAAACCCAGCCTGGTTTACTTGCATAACATTCAGTTCTTCAGTTCCCCAAAAAAAGCACTGTTTGATGAAGGCCATTTTTGTTCTGTTTTTTTAAACAAAAGGATCGATTTCATCTTAAAAATCATATACATTTACATTCAAGGGTAATCACCTCTAGAAAAAGAACAAAAACACCCCAAAAAAGCAAGTTAATTTAATATTGAACAAAATATAAACAACCTTGGAAAAGGTGATACCATCCACGTGTAATTTTATACATATATGTATATATGAACAGATATAGATATATGTATATATAATACAGCATAAACACATTGGGAACACAATGGAATTCCAGAGGAACAGCTTATTCTTGTCTCCACTCACTGTTGTGTTTCTCCTCTCTCAGTGCTGACTGTAGCACACACCAGTGGGATGCTGCCTTTGCCTCAGCCACAATTAACCACTGAAAAAAGACATTCCAGGAGCTAGGCTCCTTCCCTGCCATGCCCTTCCCAAAATAAACCCGTTACTGACCTGCCAGTGGCATTTTAACTGATCCACTTACAATCACTGTGGTCTGAAAACCAGCAAACAGCCCAAACCGAACCTCCCCGCTGCGGAGGGAACGCGCCCTCACTGCAGGCCTGTTGGCTTTGGCTCTTCTGTGTGGCCCAAATCCCAGATCCTGTTCTCACACAGGGATTTTACAACCGTGTAAGTGCACCAGCTCCCACTGCTTCGGTGCCCAAGGCCAGCAGTTTAACTGGAAAACGATGCGGTTTGATCCGACACAGCCAGACTCTGTTCAATCCCCCAGTTTCGGGATCGAGCTGAACAGCACAAAAATCAAGGGAAGTACAAGGTTACAACATGTGGAGTACTAAGAGTGTAAACACCAAGAGTGATTCCAGATTTTCAGCAGATGAAAAGAAAATCGTGCTCTGCTCCTCTCTAGCACCAAACGAGGAAGAAAAGGAAGTTCTTGGGTTTCTAAGAAAACCATTAAAACTTATTGGAGTCTCAGAGGCAAGTCCCAGGGGTGGAATTTCCTGGATTAAAGAGAATCATTTTGCTATGGATTTCTATCCTAAACGATCTGTTGCCAGTTAAAAGTGCCCTCACACCCTTATGCTTTTCAGCCAAGCCTGCTGTGTAGTTAAAACCTCACCAGCAAAGCCACTGGGACTGCAATCCCTCCAGGATTTGTGGGGTTACCTGAAGCTGCACGGAAAGGGGTTCTCAGAGACAGCATCAGCATCATTATCATGCTACAGAGCAGTGCTAGAAAAGACCCAGGAACAGGGGACTGGACAGAGCACGAGCCTGGGAAAAAGTCCCTCATACAGCAGGAAATTCTATGTAACAGTTCATATTGCCCCACATCCTCTGCAGAATTAAGAGTATTGAATTTTAAAATCCTAACAGGATGCAGATGCCTATATCATGCTGATGTGAGGGTAAGGAAAGAGTATTGCAAACCCAGCTCCACAGTGAACATCAGGGAAAAATGTCAGTGGGATGCACTTTGAAGCTTGTTTTAAAATTTACAGAGTTTCAGCTCTTTGACTTAAGTTAGTTTGCACCTCAGAATAAAAGATTGTTATGTCCATATCACAGTAAAATATCAACTCACTTCCCCATTGAAATCAAGTACAATCAGGATAGGATCTCAAGCTGCTGGAAGAAAAAGAGAATGATTTATCCTGGGGGAGAAGGAATCAAAGAACCTGGCATCAACTGAACTGAATTCAAACTTTAAATTCATTAGGAGGCAGCTTAAAAGTCTTTCTTCTTAAAAAACGATTAACATCTAGAGAGGTGATGTGTCCAACTTGTGACCAGCTTCTAAGGAGTGAGACACATCCCCCTCATGAAGCATAAAAGCTATATGATAGCATTTAAAATTAATACAAGTTGTAACCATTCAGGTAAACAAAATCCTGCTGTGTAGTGAGCAAATCATCCAGTATTATGTAATAAGATACCAAGGAACACACTGTAAAAATACATCAATTATGTCATAATGCTTTTAAAAAGTGAAGCTCTGGTGCTGCAGAAGGACATTATTTTCAGTTTCAGCTCCTCCCCCCAGAGAACACCCATGGTACTGTGTTATACCACAGACAGTGGATTTTATTTACAGCTTAAACTTCGAAGTTATTAAATCACCGTACTTTCATTTCCTGTATGGCACCAAATTTACTTCTCTAAAAAAAGTGTCTGTGAGTGTGTGTACATGTGTGTACGTGTGGCAGGCACCAGAATGCAACGTTCCATCCTGTTTGCTCTCCTTCCCTGCACCTCCTCGTCCGGAGCACAGCCCGTGGAGCGGAGTGGAGGGGTTGGTCACAGGGCCTTCAGGGCAGCGATGTGAGAGCCCAGGTTCTCCTGCAGGTAATACAGCAGGTGCAGTTCATAGTGCTCTCCTGACTCAGGCACCCTGATGCTGTGTCTCTCCTGAGGGTAGATCTAAAAATGGAAAAAAAAGTTGTAGATATCCACAAGAGTTGCGGGCACCAACGTCTAAACCCATCCCAGAGCCACATTCCAAATGTCCACGGAATCCCCCTGCATTAACTCTGAGCTAACACACCTCATCCTCCACTGCCTGAACCCAGAGAGAACCCACTGCACCCCCTGATCCAGGGCTGAGCCTGGCTGAGAAGAGGTAGCTCCTGCCCAGAGCCATCCCGTCAATCAGGGCATTCCCAGTTCCCAGTGTGGTGTGGGATACCTGGGCTGCACCTGCCTGACTAGCAGGGTTTAATCAAATTCATAACCCTGTTCCACACTGCATGAACACTCCTGCACTGCCTCCCAACTGAGACCTCCTTGGGAGCAGCCTTAGCTGCTCATTTGCCCATTTTTTTTTGTTTATTTGTAAAATCTTACTTTTAAACAAATGCTGGGCTCAAATGCTACATTTTTATCCTAGAATTCCAAGCTGCCCTGCACAGCCATGCTGCAAGTTCTAGTTCTGGACTCCCCAAAGACAGACACATCACCTTTACACCCTGGTTCTGGCCTTACCTGTAAGTCATAGGGTTTCCCAGCTCTCACCAAAAAGCTGAGCAGAATACTGGTGTGTGCGAAGTGAACGTTCTCATCCAGGAACCCGTGCAGCAGCAGCAAGCGGTTTGGTCTGGGAAAAGCAAGAGGCAAACAGTTCTAGGCAGCATCCCAGCCATTTCACAGTCCACACACATCCATTCAGAAACACTCCTTGGAAAAAAAATGTTTCCATTAAAGGCAGTGACTTCACTGCTGTTAATTGCTCTGGATGGACCAAACTTATTCCTTCTTCCTCTGAAAGTTCTTCCTGCACGTGCATATCACAGTCAGACCTTTTATTTGTGTATCTTATTTATTCTCAGCAATATTTCCTGGCTTGGACAATGCAAGGACTTAAACCTTGCTTAACACTGCTGATTGTCAGCTCTTTGGTGAGAAAGCCCCTGGTCCCAGCCTGCTCTGCTGTGCTGACATAGCCTCAGAACAGGCAGAAAACATCCTGATCAACTAATTTTTGTTCCACTTAATGTGGCTCTGAAGTGCTAATCACAGCTGAAGATATGTTTGTCATTTCTTTAGACATAAAAGATACTCTTTAATTATAGCTACTATGAAAAGGATTACATGGAATGGCCTGTAATTATACAAATGTTCATTCCAGCATTAAATTTATTAGTGTTGGGTACTGGTGGGTTTTTTTAATTATTATTTAATGCGAGCACTTGTGATTCCAGGACCCAACTGCCATGAACAGGGAGATAAAAATGTGTCCGTGGGGCTTGAACTTTCCTGGTGGGAAAAGCAGAAGGTAGGAGGCAGAACCAAACTCACTCAGAAGGGAACTTCTCAGCCTGCATGGCCACGGATCCCAGGTAATAGCCCTGCTCGTTGTGCTCCGGGTGGCCCATGTAACGCTCCGTGTATCCCGTGTCGTAGAAAATCCACAGCGTGACGGGGGCTCCGGCTACAGCCACCTGGGAATTCCACAGGAGAGGGCAATGACAACACCAACCCCTGACCAGGCATGTCCCTCCCTCCCCCAGCTTTATCCTGCTTTAACTGTGGAAAAAACAAAGCACTGCCCACCCTCCCTCCCCTAGTTCACACGTGGCACGGCTGGGCTATGACCCACATGTGCTGAACACAGGGAGATCCTACAGATAAATCAGAAACAAAACCACCTGCAAGGGCTGCTGAGGGACATGGATTTTGTGGATTTTTGTGCTTTTACATTCATTTGAATATCTAACAGAAACTGGGAATGATGGCTCCCTAGGACTCAGCTACCACCAGCTTGTAGAGAGGCTTGTGGAAAAAAAGACCCAAAACCTCCCCTTTGCAAGGTAAGCGTTTTTAAAAGTAAAAATATAACAATCATTATGGATTGAGACAAATAATCATTAAACCTCCCAGTAATATTAGGGTCAGACTTGGAGAAAGCAAGAGCAGCCACAAAGTACAAAACACACCCCGAGAGCAATATCCAGCTCTTCCCACATCTCTGCCTTTGAGACATGCCCAAAGGCAGTCTGGACATTTATTACAGTGGTCTAAAGTCAGGCAATCACAAGAATTTCAGCACCTCTCCCCATCCCCAGCCTGCCCTCCTGGTTGCTTCAGAGCACACTGCTACGAAGCACCACAGGCAATTTGATCTGGGAATAGATCTGTCTGCAAAGGAACTACTCTCTCAGGGCAGGAAAGAGGGAGGATGAGAAGGAGGTGTTGTTTTTCAGCAGGATGGTTTCTCTTACCTGGTTCACAACACAAAGAGCTCAGCTGGCACAAAGTGGGCAGCAGCTGAGGCTGTCTAAGGCACCTTCAGCACAGGTGACCTGAGACTGGTGGAGCTACACCAGCACAGCTAAGTCACTGCGAGCTCAACAGTCCAACAGTTTCAAGCTCTCTTACACAGATCCACAGAAGGAACATCCATCTGTGCTCAGCTGACTGGGGGGAACAGTTGCTCCTCCTCACCCCAGCTCATGAGAACAGACTCAGATATTCCAGAAAAACTGGCCTACCCCAACAGCCCCCCACTCCTCTGCCATGCCAGGCTTCTTGAATGGCAAATGTGTTCTGCCCAAAGGTAGAGTGCATGGATTTCTAGATCTGCTGTCTGTGAAATACCAAAAAAATAACCAAAGCCTGGAAGCCTAATTAGAAACACCACAGAATAAATAAATAGAAAAGCAACTTCTCTCTGAAGTCACCCAAATAGAAGAGCCTTGAAGAAACTGCACTGTGCCCTCACGTGTCCAGAGCAAGCTCCGAGGTCTTTGTGCTGTGAACACTCATGGGAGGTCACACAATTAAAGGAAAAATTCTGTCTGCACCACCAGAGTAAGTACTCAATGCATGAACATACCCTGAAGATATCTGACCTCTGTGTTAAAGCCATGAGGGAGAGGTATCCTCCGTAGGACCAGCCGTGGATGCCGACACGGTCCAGGTCGATGAAGTCGTACTGCGACGCCAAGTACTGCAGCCCTTCCACCTGGTCATCGATCTCTATCTGCCCCTGCGAGGCACAGGCAGAGGCAAGTTCTGCTAGTTACAGGAAACAGTTTCATTCCCAGGATTTCCCAAGGAAACCACCTCCAGAGCTTTGCTGCCAAAGAGTAACCCATGCTGAGAATGGAAGTGTCCTGCAAATCGCAGCTGGTGGGAGTCACAGCCCCCCTTAGGCACCACTGTGTGTCAGGGCTGCCAAGCTGGAGCTGCCTCACACCTCACAGACATTTTGTCTTTCCCACACTGAGCACCTTTCCTCCCTCAAATCTCACCTATACCCAGTTCCTGTCCCCAAACCCAGGCAGTGCTGGGCACCTGCACCAAACCAGTGCTTCAGCTCAGGTAACACTGGGACTCAGACCCACCTCTGGCTGAGCACAGAGCCAGACTCAGAGCTCCACTTACCATTTTGTATTTAAAGGCTCCTTCAAACTTGAGCCCTCGGTGGCAGGAGCCCCTGTTGTCAATGACAACCACAACGTAGCCTAAGGAGGCCAAAGTGTTCAGTCGGAAATACTTGATTCCTTTGAACCGGTTGTTCACCAGCTGTACCTGGAGTACAAGAGCAGCACAACCACACGTGAATCAGAATCCAGAGGTCACCTCTTAATCCAACTTCTGATCTTATTTCTATTTCCCTTCCTTTAAATGGTTTATATTATTATAATGTAAAGTTTTTAAGACCCCTACTCCCTGCTGAATTCCCCCTCCCTGCTATGAAATAACCTCTCCTCCCCCATTCTGTGTCACAGGTATGAAGAGCTGAACTGAGCTCCAGTGAGGCACCTGGAGAGGAAAGGGAGACAGAACTGGGAACAGGGACTACCTGACTCCCCTTTGCCCCAGTTTCATCTCTGCTGCTGTTCTCAGACAAGGGAAGTGCCTCAATCCAAGAGCTGGAAATCCTGACTCCTTACAGCACCTTTGGCCAAGCAGCCATGCACCGAACAGGCAAAATGCCACATGCTGCCCTCAGCATGGAGCAGGAACTGCTCCTGCAGGAGAGGGCCAGCCAGCCCACCCCCTGCTCACCACTCACCTGAGGGCCTCCATAGATGAAGAGCACAGTGGGGTACTTCTTCCCAGGCTGCAGGTTGTGAGGTTTGTACATCATTCCGTACAGCGTGAACCCCGTGGAGCTCTCGAAGGAGAACACTTCAGGAGGAATGTAATCGGGAAGAGGGCCTGCCATGGGAGGGAACAGGGAGACTGCTTTAACAGGGCATGGATGAATAATGCAGCTCTGCTTCAGCCCTGCCCTGTCACCAGCCTCACTGTAATCCCAGCAGAGCTCTCCCATGCTTTCCAGTGGATGTGGCTGGGTCTAGACAGAGACAGGGAATGCCCCAGCCCTAGGTGAGCTTTCTCAGCCCTATCACATTCCCATCCCTGCTCTCCTGCTAACAACAGTAACTCTTCTCCCCTGACAGCCATTACAGATGTCCTGTCCCTTCCTAACCCCTCTTAGGACTCACACATTAGTATGTGGAAAGCACAGGATATGGAGCATGCCTTAGGGAAAGCGAGATGAAAGGGAACAGAAACACAACAGAAAACAAAGCCCAAGAGCTGTCCCACAATCCCAGGAGCAGGCAGCAGCACACACTGTTTAAGAAGTGCACACCCCTCCCCAGGAGCACACCCGTGAAAAGACACATTGCACAGCGTAAAGGAGTGCACTTAAATCCCTTCCTGAGCTAAAACTTGGTATTCTCCACATAAATTCCTTCATGGTCTGTTTACGCCCATTTGTTGCTGAGCTGAAAATGTCCCTCCTGTAATTCCAAGAACTCCTCACACAAGGCTGAGTTTCAGACAAAAGTCCAGTCACCCACAACAAGAGCAAATCTCAAGCAAGCATATGCTGGGGTTATCTTTCATCCTGTGACCCTGCTTTTCCTGTTCCTCATGCATGCCATTACCTGCTGAATCCAAAATGGTAGCCCAGAATTCCTTTGTCCTGTGAGCTGCATCATCTTCTGACCCTGTGAGCCGGTACAGTGACACACAGTGGGGGTTCTTCTGATTACTGTACTTGCTGATGAACATGTCACAGTCCTGGGGAGAAAAAGAGCATGCCCTGAACTCCTCAGTGCAGAGGCACAAGTAAAACTGAACACTTCTTTCTGCATCTACATCTTTCAGAAGATGCTTATGGACCAAATTAAAGCAGGAAGTCTGAGCACTTTTGACTCTGAAACGCTACAGTCCTTGGCAAGGCTCATATTAACACTACAAAGCCAAAGATACACCTGCAAAGCCAACAGTGGCAGGAGGACCTGGTCACACACCTCCCTCTGGGTAATGAATTCCCAGCTGGATGCCTGGAACTCCAGCCAGTGCTATCCCAGGCTTATCTCCTCTGGTCACTGCTCTCTAATCCACTTCAGAAAAAGAGTCAGGCTCAAAGAGTTTCCAACAATTCATCCTGTCTCCTCTTGCCTGAAGTGACCTGGAGAGCAATGAACTGGAAGGTCAAATCTGGTTTCCAGCGTGGTTTTACACACCGACTGTACAACGTACAGGAGCCCACAACACAGCAAAAAATGTGCTTTTGTTATACATAATTACTGCCTTGGCTGCTGACTGATGAAGGATAAGCCTGGTGACAAGGCAGAGCACCCCCAGGCAGACCTGGCTGACACAGCAGGCGTGGGAGTATCCACGTTCTGTCAGTCGCTTCACTTCCCCGGGATTCTCGTAGTTCACAACGTACAAGTGATGCTCCAGAGGTGAGTCTTTTGTGCCTTGAAAGTACACCAGTTTCTTGGTTTCATCCACATAGATCTGCCAGAAGCAAAACAGACAACACATCCCTCAAGATTGTTCCTTATCAAAGTAATACCCAGTTCTTCTGCCTCCAGGTCTCCCCTCAGGCCCACTTCCATAGTGCTGAGTTGGAGCCCAACAACCCGCAGGGAATAAAAGCCAAATGACTGTTCTCACTGTCCACAACTCTGTCACAGTTTGCATTTCACACCTGGTTGATCAGCTCTCTCATGTAGGTTCTTTGCTGTTCCCAGTCTCCCCTATTGTTTGCTGTGCTAAATAACTGTCCCCCATTCTTTGTCACCTCCACACTCTTCAGATCCTTTCCCAAATCATGTAGGATATAAACCATCCCAGAAGGAAATCAAGGCAGTAGCTCCCTGCTATATTAAATATTCCTCAGTTGTCCCTTCTTTTGGAGGGACAGCAGGCAGCAGAACAGATTCAAACTCAGGTCAACTTGCACATCTCATTCCCCAATCCCATTTCTAATTACTAGGAAGGATTTCCAAGTCCTTTACAAAGACCAAACCAGTAAAACACTTCTATGTGAGCTGCTGTTTGATTCAAATGATCAAAGAATTCACCCAGCTCAGAGCTAGAAGAGCAGCAGTTTGGGGAGCATTCCTTCCCTCCTTGTGCAAGCTGACAAGTTATATTGAACAGAAACACTGGGTATTCTGGCTAAAACCAGACAGGATTAATGGATTATGGTGATCCCTCCAAGAGACCATCTCCCTGCAGTGTGTGGCAGGATATCTGTGCAGGAAGAGCAGGGCTTACGTTGGATCCATGTCTGCCAAGCACTTCCCATTCCCCACTGGTAATTGCTATCTCCTCTTTGATGAGGCACTTGAAGTCACCTGCAAATAACAAACATGAAGAGATTTTACACTTTAAATTTTTACAAAACATGGTCACAATAATTCTTCTTCTTCCCAAGCTTTTTTCCTAGAACTAAGCCCAAGAGCAACCTGTTTCTGCAGCAGACCCCCAGCTCTGCCAGCTCCCCAGACAATGTCAGGGCTGGGGCTACTTAACATTCTGTGAAATATATGTCAAAGGATTCACAGGACATACTTTTATATTTTTAAAGTATTTTGTCACTTGCATAGAAATAAAGGTTTTACACTTAAAAAAATGGGTGGGTAAAGGGAACATGAAGTGTCAAAAAATGAGCAATTTTGCAACAGGGTGGGGAACAACTCTGCTTTTCTAAGACAGTCTAATTTCCCTTAGAACGAGGGAGATATAACGAGAAAAAAACTCGTATGCATTCAGAGAAATCCAACCCACCCAGGATATAAGGCTACCCAGGAAAAAACAACCCACCAACAGTTGCATGAAACTAGGACCTCTAGGAAAATTAGGTGTATTTTTTGTGCATGCAGAGTTCAGTATGCCTTTAACACATATCAAGTAAATTAAGTCTCACAGCATGAAACTGTGAATTAAAGGACACGTGCTGTGGAAAAGTCACTCTGGGAGCTCTGCACACAGTGACATCCTGCATCTGAGCAAGACCAAACCCCAGCAGTGACAAGGAAAAGCCAACTAAGTCTCACAGTATCACAGGGAGCTTTTTTCCCCCCATCTGTTTTTTTGGAAACTTTTCCCTCTAGTCCATAAGGAAGGGTCAGGGTTAAAACTAATGCATGCTGAAAACAGAAGAATTTCTGTTCAAGAGGAATGACTGTACAGGGAAGAGCTTTCCTGGACAACAGCAGAAGTTTCCAATAAGATAGTAATTCCTGCCAGCTGGAAGGACATTTATTTCCTCACCAGGCAGCAGCAAATGCCCAACTAAAGCAAAAGGATAATTTCCCTTACTGGGGGCAGGGAGGCCTCCACAGGACCGTTTGTATTTGCTCTCCTTCAGCACCGAGGTGACTTTGTACAGGTGCCGGAATCCTGTTTTACACTCGGAGGCAAAGATGAACTCTATCTCATCTTCCTGGGTTTGGGGGAAAACATGGAAGATATCGTGGATCTGTGGAGACAGAGCAGTGGGTTATTGTAATTAGTCACACAAAACACCTTCCTCTTGGTGCTCAACACACACCACACAGTCTAGGCTAACTGGGTGCAGCACTGTCCCTTACTGGGAGAACCAGTTACACTTTGAGCTGGGGGATCTGCAGCCAGTGCCACATCCTTACAGTTCCAGCTTGTTGCCAGTCTAACTCTATATGGTGGTCACCAAACTAATGAAGTTTTTCTGCACCTGCCTTTCTAGCTTGGTCACAGGGGTGGGTCCAGCCCTGCAGACCTCTGTCCTGTGCTGTCTGCAAGCCCTCAACTGAAGGGTTATTTTAAGAAAGATGAGCTCACGTCATCTTCCCACTCATCAAGAACTCTTCCTTCAAGGGAAAACCCTTTGAGGGACTTGGAAGCATTTATCTGCACAGGATGAGCTGCCAGTCAAAAACCACTCCAGCCAGTAAAAATACTGGAGGAAGGAAAACTCACTGCACCATCCTGAAACCACGACACCACTGCTAAGGAGAAAACTTGGTATCATAGAGGGCAGTCACTGTATAGGGACCATTCACTGGAAGGCTTTGTGCAAGTGCTCTCTGCTGAAAGATCCAGCCACCTGCCAGTGATTGATGCTCCAGGTACACCTCCAATGGCATTCCCTTTGATCCTTGGATCTGTATCTGCAGCAGTGTGAGGAGGGGCACACGTTTTTGCAGCAGTAACCAGGCACACCAGTGTCTGGTCACAGCACAGGCCCTGCTGTTCACTTGCCACAACATCACACCCCAATCTATTTCACCAAAAACAGTAGTTCAGGAGGGAGTTAGTGCCTGTCAGCAGACTCTCAGGACTTGTTCACCCACTATCATCTTGCTACATCTTTGTTGGCTGAAGAATATTTAATCTGGTGGTGAAGGACCAGCACCAAGAAGCTGCAGAGTGGCAGTAACACTGTGGGCAAGGGGGTGCTCAGGACCCCCAGAGCCCTGGGCTCTGCTCCTGCCTCTGAACACTGTGCAGCCTCAAGCAAAGCAGCTCTTGTTTTCACATCCCAAATCTTCCTGTTCTCTATATACTGTTTTTAACAGCAGGAAGCACAGAATATGCACAGAACTTGCACAGTGGGATCCCTCTCTTAAGCAGCACAAAAACCACCAGCGCTGCTCAAGTGCTACAAACTGTCAGAGAAGGCTGAAATTCAAATTCTTACATTTATCCAGATGTCTGTTGTTTCTTCATAAATAATGAAAGGTGTAACAGAATCTGGGACAGCATCGATGAGTTTCTGCCTTTCCATTGCATCATCTTCTGTGGGGATGAATAATGCAGGAGGGATCAGGACTATCTGCAGCCGAGTTTGGGAGCGATCCAGCAGGATAGACCAGATGCTGTTGGGGAGACAGATATTAGAGAAAATAACATGCAACCATGAGTATGACACAGGCCTGAAAATCTCAGCAGACACTCACTAGCACCAGGCATTTTGGGGGAGCCAGGAATGTTCGACTGCAAATTAAGCACAAAGTCACGTGCAAAATTTCACCCACATAAACAAATTTCTTCCACAACACAAGAACCTATTTCACTTCATTTCAATATTGCATAAGCACTGCAGGTTCAAAAGTTTAATTCGTTCCATTCTCCCTGATTTGAATTGTGCTTCAAGGGAGAAAGAGAAGAGAAAAATCAGAGGGAATAATGAAGCAGAAAAATCTCAATTGAAATTTCAGGATGCTTGTAAAAATACTATTGCTTTAAACCTACACCTGGCAGAGAATAACACTGGCACCTCAATGGATTGGCAGCAGCCCCTGCCATATTCTGATGGTTTTGCATGTAGCTCTAACAATTATCCTGCAAAAAGCAGGATAATGTAGCAAATGTGTCCCTGGACTCCTTCCACATTTGAGGGGGGGAAAAACCTAAAAATGTGAAAGCCATCTTTAGATTCAAAAACTGGAGGAGTGCAATTCTGGAAAATCATGGAATCATTTAGGTTGGAAAAGACCTTGAAGATCATCGAGTCCAACCGTTCCCCCAGCACTGCCAAGCCCACCACTAAACCATGTTCCCAAGTGCCACATCTACATGGCCTTTAACTCTCTCCAGGGGTGGGGACTCCACCACTGCCCTGGGCAGCTGTGCCAGGGCTGGACAACCCTTTTGGTGAAAAACCCTTTTGGAGAAGCTTCTGGTGAGTTAGAAACGCTGTACTACATCATCTACAGGGTTAAAATGACATGCAAATGTAAGTAGCACTTACAGCAGGTTTTCTGATCAGTAAGTCTGGTCAGCAAGGATGGTCCAGTGGTTAGGGCTCTAGCCTAGGGCCTGGGGGACTGGGCTCATTTCTCTCCTCAGCCACAGACTTCCTGCGTGACCTCTCACTTAACCTCTCTGGGCTTCAGTTCCCCATCTGTAAAATGGGGACAATAGCACTGCACTCTCTCTCACAGGGACGCTGAGAGGACACACACACCAAAGGCTGCGAGTGCCCAAAACCAAAGCAGCGGGGCCAGGGACCAGGGAGAGAGACAGCGAGGAGCCTGGTTCGGCTTTTGGAAAAATGGTCCCCTTTGCACAAACGAGTTGGTAGTAATGTAAAAGTGAAAGCAGGCTTAAGCTGGAAGAAGAGAGAGACCGCTACAATCTGCTTCTGACTGTATCACCCCAAACCCTCTGAGCAGAGACAGGAGTAACATACGCACTATTTTCCTTCTGGCGTCCACCCAGCTCTAGCAATGTACTCTACTCCTTCAAAGAGGATCTCGAAGGGCTGAACTAGCTCTTTATCCACAACATCTGCAATCTGTTGACAAAGCAGCAATTCAGTGACACTGAGATGAACCCCCACAACCAGTTTTTTCATGCACGATGAGAGTCTGGACACAGAAGACTTTTTCTGTGCAGCTCATGCAATTGAGATTGTTCAGCCTTTGCAGCACAGCAGGAGAGCTGCACTCTACCAGTACAGCCAGGGCTGGGATCAGGGAGCGTGGATGCTGCTCACAAATCCATCCTTCATCTCGGACAACTCACTGGAACTCTCAGTTCCCCTCTGGGAAGGGGAGGTGGTTTGTACTGAGGGTGCTTTTATGGGCAGGTGCTGAACGTCCTGCATGACCTCCAGTTATTAACGTGCTGCAGTCTGTTCCTGCTGGGAACAGACAGTTCCAGTGGTACCCAAAGGGTCCTGAAGGCTTTCCCTGCCTTTGCTGGCTGACACCAGCATCACTATCCCAACAGGTGACTGCTGATGGCTGAAGGAGCTCAAGAGTAGAAGAATCCCCATAATTTATGGCTGTTACTGTATCTGTTTGGTAAGACTGATTTCCCAGCTGTCCAAAGGTCTTGGACTGGGCTATGGAAATTTCTGCATCTGTTAAAAAATCCCAGGGCAACAGCAAAGTTCATCTCTTTCCATATGGTTTTGTAAGGTGATATATTGTCTTTGCAATCAAATTTTCCCAATATCTGCAGCCAATCAAGAGATCAGTCACAGAAGGTCTAACCACCCACACCTAAAATGCTCTGCTCTGCAGCTGGGTTTTTACACCAGTGGTAGGGAAGGAAAGCACAGCCTTGAGAAACACTGCTGCACACAGACACCAGGAATGAGCCAAGGGCACTGCCTCCAGAGAAGCCAGTAAGCCATCACAACCAAGAAAGTGCCTTTGTACTGAACTGGAAAATGAACGTTACCAAAGAAGAATCACAGCAATTCTATGTATTTGGCAAACAAACAGCACAAAGACTTACTCTGCCTTCTGCATTGATTGTCACCTCAGAGATCTTGAAAGTGACCTTTGGATTTGCTGTACCTGTAAAAACAGATGTGACCAGTCAGGCACCAGTTGTTTGCTAGGATTATTGTGGTCTTACTCACACAGAACTGGAAAAGGCAAACAGCAGAATGCTCTTTGATCACATAACCTCCATGCCTGTGTGAGACAGCACAGAACCAGGCAGGGAACTGTAAACATGAGGAGATTTAGTGGATTGTAATCCTGCAAACATGCTACTGTCACAGTCAGCCTTCTCTCTCACAGTCAATGGATGCAGGTACTAGTTGGAAGTAAATGCTCAGGAGTGATCAGTACAGCAAAGCAAGCTTTGGTTCCCTGTTTGGCTCTTATTCTCAAGGTAGTACACAGAAAATGAGCCAGTGCTAAAAAGCATCTGTGAAAATTAACTGTGAAAATTAAACCTAAAAGCCTACTGCCATCACTAGTGCCATTAAGATAATAAAGCTCCATATTTCTGTTGATCAGTGAAAATCTAAAGTTAACTCTTTCCACAAAGAAGCAACTCATCCTGCTGTACAGCCCCTGCCCTGCTCCACACAGGGAAGAGGGACTTTAAAGAATAAATCCACTGCCAGTTGATCCACAAGGAGTCACATGGCAATTCCATGTACTCTGAATATTCTCAATGCTGCTGTAAAGTGCTCCCACTTCACCAAACCTGATGCACTGAGGTGAAAATACTTGCCTTGGATCACAGTGCCAACCTATTTAAGTCCTTACTTCTCCCAGGGAAGAATGTTCTCCACTTCCTCAAGCTTTACCCTCATAACATTCCACAGGAAAGGGGTCTTGTCCCTGCAGCTCACATTAGAAGCTGAGACCCACAGACTAAAACCTTTATTTGGGCTTTGGTTAGCTCAGTTTCTTTGCATTGAATAATTTCAGAAATCTGGGTGTCCACAAGCACCACAAAAACCACAAGGAGTCACCTCTTGCTTCACAGGCTCACAGTGAACCTTTCCCTCTCCTCAAAACAAGTAGTAAATGAGGAAAAATAGAAGACTTTTCCCAGTGGATCAGGGCATCTGCAAGATCTGAATGAATTCTGCTGCTGGGAAAGGTCACCCAAACAGAAGATATTTGTCCAAAAAATGAAGATTTCAGCAGTGAGGAAAGAGAGCAAAGCACTGTTATCTGTGAGCCACATGCCCTGCTGTGACAGCAGGGACATCTCAGAAGGGTCAAACTCTTCACACCTGACTGAATCAGACTTCAGCAGGTCTGCTTAAATCCCACTTCCCTGCTTCCAGTGACACTCCAGTTTATGTGCTTCAAGCCTGCCCTCACCTCTTTTTGCTGAAGCCTCCAGATCATACATTTTTTAAAAAATATGACCACATGAGTTTTTCCTGGCAGGCTGCAACATGCTGAGTTTGCTGTTCAAAGTCCAAGAGCAATCCTGGAGAACTGACTCCTTCAGAACTTGAACTGCAAGGGCACTGCCAGCAGCTAAACAGAAACCCTCCCAAAAAACCAAAAGGCTGTCATTCTGCAGCTGTTCCCTCAGGAAACGGGGCTGTAACGAGAACCAGCTCCTCAACAACTCAGATCTGCCAGGATCTGAGAGAGCAGCTCCAAAATAGTGACCATCAGAGAGAGTTTCTGCCAACTCCTGACACCCAGACAGAGCCCTCAGTAACCCCATGGCTGCAGCATCAGCACAGTCACCAGTGACCCATCTAAGCTCTAGAGCAGCTTCCCCAAACATGTTTCCACCACTCCAACACATCCCTGCTCTAGGCTTGGAGAGTCACTGCTGTCAGGTACATGGAATGAAATTCCACATCTCCCAGACACAGGGATGTAAAGCTTCAGGCTCTCACCAGTTTTGGGGTACCGGAAGGAATCTGTTCTTCTTGTCTCCAGCATGGGGGATGTGACATGGATAATTTCCACCTCTGACTCATCGTTTTCTTCATAAAGAATTCGAAGGACTTTACCCCCATCCAGTGCTGTAAATGAATTAACATTGCAGAATTAACAGGACAGCTCTCGTTATCAGTTATTGCAGGCATCAATTATCTCAGGAGCACAAGCAGATTGGAAGGAAGAAGAAAAATCCAACAAAGCCTGTGATTCATGTTTCATTAAGCAAAACTCTGAGACTCTTACAACTCCCACCTCTGTTGTGAGAAGGGAAGTCTATTCTTCCAGTGCTCACAAGGCCCCTGTAACATACCCACTGCTGACAGATCAAAAGAAATTATAAAGTTTCCATCTTGCATAGAGACAAGTAACAGAAAAAAAAACAACTCTGCCCTGGACAGCAGAGGAGAGAAGTCACTACTCGTGCCTGGATCCACCACACTTACTTGGCTGTGCCCTTGGGCACCACCAGTAGCCAGTGTATCTGTCAAACTCCTCCTGCAGCACAAAAGTGGCCACGCCAGCAGATTTTGGATCCTCCTCAACATTGGCCAGTTCTAGAAAAACAGACACCAAAGAATTAGTTTGTGATGTGCTGTAGAACCAAACCAGTTCTGCATTATCCCAAACATGACCCGAGTTCACCCCCCTGGGAAGAACTACACGATAATAAATCTGACTTCTCAGCAGATTTGTCTTCTGCTTCCACCCTTCCCTGTTGATTTATTTAGGGAGGATTTAATCCTCTCTGGCATGGCAGCTTCCTTAAGGAAAAGAAAACCATCCTCCCCTCTTACTCCTACCTAATCAGGCTCTCAATTGGTCAAAAAAGAAAATGTTCTCTCTACCTGAGCTCGGTGAGGTGGAATCACAACTTTTAAGAAAATCAAAGAAATAAAAACAACCCAAACCTTTCCCGAACAATTGAAACTGAAAACATCAACATTCAGAAAAATGAAAGCACCAGTATTTCATTCCCTGTGCAACCCAAAAGTAACAGACTTACATAACACCTCAACATGATGACATATCCATAGGGCTTCAATATTTTTCCTGTTACCCTGGAGGTAACTTAGCAGCGCTCCATAAATAATTATCATCTGAGAAGGAGTCATTGCTACAGTTTATTTTTACTGTACTTACATAATATTTTAATATTTAACATTTGAATAATCTAAAGCATTATTATAAAGTGTCAGGAATTTTAATTAACTAAAATTTAAATTACACAGTTTCAGCACAAAATGTAATTGATTTTTAAAAAGTGTTTTATCCACAATTTCCCACGTTCTTTCTTCCTGGTCTAAAATAGAGTTGGAGAGGGTAAGAAGTGAGGACCCAGGTCACTGAGTATGAGGGGCCAGCAGAAACCCCAGTGCTATTCAGAAACTGCCTCAATTGTTTTTCAAAGTCTCTGCAGCCTGATTTCACTGACAGAAACTTTCCTCCAGCTCTATTCCACCCACAGCTCCTCCACACACAAAAAAGGCTGTTCCAGTAAAAAGCAATGTGCTGTGTTTCAGGAGAAGAGCCCTTCCATATGTACCCACCAAACAACTCATTCTGCCAGATTCCACAGTGCAGGGAAAAGAATCATCCTACAGTATGTGCACCAGGGGAACCGTGACAAACAAGGTGGGATAAACAGTGGCCACGACCCCGATTTCAGGAGAACCTTTAGTGCCACTGCTCACTTCAGTCTGGCAAGAAAAAGTGCAGAGGAGGTGCAGGGGTTGGATTCAGGGTGCATTAATTACCATTGTGCACAAACGTCAGCCTCCTCTCCTCCCTGGATTCTATATTGGATATCCAGATGTCGTTGCAGTGGATAAACGCAATCCAATTTGGATCAGCTGGACAAAGCTTGGGATCCATCCGGATATTTGGACAACTGGTCTCTACCAGGATGGGTCTCAATGGTTGTTGCTGTTTGGAATTTAAAAAAAAAACCAAAAAACAAAAAAAGCAATGATGACACATGAACACATGCACAAAGTAACCTGGATTTTCAGAAGGCCACAGCAGTGTGGACACTGACTACAAATACATGTTTACAGATGAATCTACTCGTTTTAAACACACAAAAATACCATGCAGGTAATTTATAGGGAAAGTTGTGCTTGTACCATGGTTGTACAGGCTCTACCAGGGCTCTCTCCCCACTGCTGAGGATCAGCCCCAAATCAGAAGGCAGCTTGTCTAGAGAATCCTGGCAAACTCCTAAAAACAGCACCCTAAAAGGGGCTGGCAGAACATGCAACCTTGTCCTCCAAAAGCAGCTCAGGGTACAGTAAATTCCCCCTGACAACAGGGTTAGACAGACACCAGGCATCTGTTGTAATAATGAGAAATTATTTCAGCTTTGAAGTCCAGCTTCAGCACCAGCAGAGTAAAGGTTGCTTGTTCTGCAAGCTGTACAGCCAAGTGGTGTAACACATCCAGCACTGCCCCTGAACAGTGACCTGGAAGTGCAGCTTGGGGACTGAAGTTGTCTCTGATGTGACTTCTGACTCCATGAAGAGCAGGGAACCTTTTGTTGCTTTTTATGGACATTGCTAGTCGTGAAAAATAATTTAAAAATATCTACTGTCCTGCCTTGCTGCCATGGTTTTTACCATTTCTTGTAATCCTCCATCTGAGTTTCTAGGACCATGGAAATGCATCCCTGTGGAGGACTTCTCCACTTTTCCAGGGTTATCAAGGTCATTTGCAATAACTGATGATGATCATGCTCTCTGCTCTCACTCCAAGCCAAAGGAGCTCCTGGCCAGAGCAGAGAGACAGAAGAGGAGCAAACTCACAGTGAATCCATGAGGGCCTCCATCCTTCACATGATAAATCCCACTCCCTGCCTGGAATAAGAAGGTGCCACTCTCCCGGTGATAATCATAGGAGGCAATCCCGACGGTGCCGATCCGCTTCCGCTCCCGCAGCAATTCCTCTTCCCGGGAGTACATCCCATAGTCCAGGATGGCCTGAAAACAGGCAGAGAACACAATCACACCTCTGCTCTGCACGCCTCACTGTTGGAGCATCCCTGCCTGCTCAGCTTCCAGCAGCAGATGGCTGTGCAGACTGCCTCCTCCTCCGGAATCCTGCTGCCGGCTGGGAGCCCACTCCTGCTCTGCCGCTGCCATCAGCACTCGTAGGTGCAGGCCACGATCGGATCCCACACAGCCGTAAACCTGACAGCCACCCCTCCCCAGCACACCAGCATTGTTCCCAATATTCCTGGTATGAGAAGGACCAGCCTGAAGGTCTGTTACTTCTGGAATGAGCAGGAGAGGCTTTGCTCGTGTTCACAGACACACAGTGACTGGTCTGGTGGGAGGAGAGTGCAGCCCAGGTTTTATGTCTGGCTGACAGCCCTGGGAGATAACATGGGGAAAAATACACCTCATGCCATGTGGGGTTTGTCCCACCGCCTCCAACCTGCCACGCTGCCTGGGATGGGATGGTGCAGGCTTGCTGTGTGCAGCAGTGAAAAGGGAATGCACATTGCAGTGAGTGGGAAAGGGATGCTCTGCTCCACATGAGTCACGGAGCCACCGGCTGATCCTCGGGGGAACCATCACTTCCCCTGCAAGACAGCAGGGAAGTGACTGGAGACTGCAGGCTCCTCCAGCAATCCCCAGGATCTCACAGCACAGAATTGGATGTAAAATAGAATTTTCCATCTCTGTCAGCAAAGGAGGAATCATCCAGCACACACAGAGGCTATGATTCCAAACAGGAGAAAGCTGTGCTCGGCTTTGAGATGGCTGCAGGAGAATCTTAAAATATTTAAGACAATAAACTTCAAATTTTAATGATGGCTTACAGGTGCAAGCCTGAAGCCCACGTCCTTGAAGTGAAAAAGAAATGATGACTCACTGGAAAAAGATCCAGAAGAGGCTTCCAGGAAAGCAACAGGACGGCAGCTTTGTTTATGGTTTTGGGGATTTCAGAGTAGAAGAGTGTGTTCTCCCTGTTCTCCCCAGACATTGCTATGGAAAAGGAGGAGAAAATAAAGACAAAAGGTGTATTAGCTTTCTGTTAATAATTCATTCTGACAGAATTTCCAGAAAGTTTCCCAGGCCCTTCCTACAAGAGAAAGTACTGATGGTCTCTGCATTGCAGCCCCACTCTGGGAATTCCCTGTTTCACAGAAATGCAACTCATGGAAAAGGCAGAGGACAAGGAATTACACCCAGGCTCACCCCACTCTGCCTGAAGCATGTCTGTGTCTTCCTGCTGCCCTTTTATTCCATAAGCTTTATAAATCAAGGAGGGCCTTTCTGCCAAATCCTCTAGTGGGATACATGATGCAGCTCGTGTTTCAGAGATAATGGAAAAAAATAATCCTTTAGGGAGGTTTGAATGTCCCTTTCCTGCTCCTCTCCCTCAGTGCTATTCAGATTTCTGAAGGCTCCTGCCCAGGCACATGGGGATGAGCCCAGAGGGAGCCAGGTGTGCTCCAGGGAAGGCCAAGCTCAGGAAGCAGCACTTGGGAAACCAGAGCTCATCCCAGGGGCTCAGCCTTAACCCCCCTGTGATGTGCTTGAACTCAGCACCATTCAAGGATTATGATCCCCATCCTCTGAAAAGGGGAAAAAGGGACTGACCAGCAGTGTTCTGGCCATGTCACTGCACAGCACGTGCAAAGACCTGGTGAATCACAAACCTGAGCTTAAGCAAAGTAGCCTAAGTGGTGAGCAGTGGGGATAGAATATGGCTCTGGCTCCTAGGCCTCTGCTCCAGCCATTGCTTCTCTCCCTTCTCTCCTTAATCCAGGTTTTCACAGATTCATGTTCATCTAGTGCAGCTTTTGACAAAAGCATTCCTCTCCCACAAAGGCTGCTCCAAAGAGCCATCCAGAGGGTTGCTCACAGTATCACTTGCAGAGCCAAATCACTTCTATCAAATGAACATTAATTAGTGAAGCAATGCCCAAGTGAGGCACCAAGGCCAAGAACAACAAACTGCATCAAGTTCTTCCTTATCAAGACCAAAAATGTTGAGAAAAGTATTTACTCTTTGAGCTGCCCCCACCCTACACTGCTATTTATTCCCCACAGGATCCCTGGAAAACCTGCTCCATCAGCAGCTGAGGCACAAAGGACTTCTAAAATGACACATCATCGCTGCTTTGGAAGGAAACTTTTAAGGAGAACAAGGTTCTACCCAATATCTGTCATTGAGAGAGAGGAGATCAAACCTGCACAGCTTTGGGAGAGGGGTGAGAGAAAAGGGACTGAACAGACTTCCAGCTTGGGAACACTTGGACAACACTTGGGAACAGAGGACACTTCACAGTTCTTTTCCAGCTCTAATGGATCACCCCCACCCATTCCCATGCGAGGTTACATCACAAGTTTTAAGGAGACACTGAGATCATGATCCTGACTTTTTCCCAGCCAGTGTGGCCCGGAATCTCTTTTGGTTTAACTGCCAGAAATCCCAGCTGTCAGGAGCAGTCAGAGCCCCACAGCCCTGCAGTGACAGGGGCTGTCACAGCTTACCCAGATAGTAGATCCTGTCAGAATGGGGCCCTTCAGGATCGTTTTTCTTCACGAACGTGAAGTCGTGAGGGGCTTTTGCCATCATGTATCCATGATACTTCCGCGTGTCCGTCAGCAGTTTCCGGAGCTGGCTCCAGGAATGCCTCTCCACATAGAAAGGTTCCAGTTTTGGCTGCTCCTCCCTCGGGACCTGCTCCTCCCGACCCGCGGTCTCAAAGATTTCCAGCGCCGGCTGTTCAGTTTCCATGGCTGCTGCCATGTTGCATGTTTCTGGAAGGACGGGACAGCACAGGGTCAGCTCCAGCAAAGCCCCACTGCAGACCCCCAGCACACCCCACAGCAAAGAAAACCATCGCTCCACGTGGGGAATAAACCCCACAGCACAAGGAAGAGGGATACGAAAGAGATTCCTGCTCTGGAAAACAAAGGCACCACTCGGCTCTTCAGAACGGGAGCGAGGACTTCATGGAGACACAGATTTATGGCTGTTGGCCTTTCCCACACCCTCACATACCAACTGCTCATTTTAGTTCATGAAGTGGATGAATTCTTCCCCTTTAAGCTCCTCTCTGCTCCTGCCCCCTGTGATCTGCACAAATGCCCCCTCCCTGCACTGCTATGGGAATGGGGGATGACCAGGAGTGCAGCCAGAGCAGGGACAAACTGCTCAGAAGAAACAACACCGGTAGTTGCTATGAAACCATCAGGCCATTCACAACAGCTGCATGTCCTTACTCCCATTATTCTCCTATAATTTATTGGATTTGTTTGCACTTCCTTTCAAACAAAACTCAGAAGTGTCTAGAAACGACCACCACTATTTTATCACCCTGAGGCCACAACTGCAAACACCGGGAGAAAGGGGACACTGTGTAAAAAGCCTTTCCCAGACAGATTTATCTGCAGCACAAGCCCCATCCTGCCCAGCAGGTTGTTTATGGAGCAGATATCTCCTCCTGCACTCAGCTGTGCTTCACCAAGTGTAGCTGAGCTGGCATTATCAGCACAGATGTCTGGCAGGAGGAAATCAAGTCTTCCCACTGTAAATCCCAGACCCAAGGGCAGCTCCAAAACGATCCAGGCCATAAACTCCTGCCACACAGTTCATTCCTGGAGAATCCAAGGTGTAGGACTGTCAATCCTCAAAGGGAGGGGGTTCTATATATAGGATGGAAAGACTGCACTAATGCAGCCTAAATAAAGCTCTTCCCTGGAGCAAACAGGCTCTGAAGGATCCCTGAATCCCCAGGCCAGGGCTTGGGCAGCTGGCAAAGCTCCCTGGTGGAGCAGCTCTCCCACAGCTCGGCACCGCTGAGACACCTCAGAGGAGTGACAAAGACAAGTCCCACACCTTGGCCCAACCCCGTTCGAACACAAACTGCCAAAAGCAAAGCCCAGCAGGTCTGGATCCACCTTTGGCAGCACAAACCCAACAAACAAAGGTCTTTCTTTTGTCCACGCTATTTATAGCACAAACCCCCAGAATAGAACAGCCCTGTACAGCTGGAAGGAGGGTCCGAGGCGTGCCCAGAGCAGTGCTGTGCTCAGACAAGAGCCTCCAAACCTCAATCACAGAACCCGTTTAATCTGCACGATTCCAACAAAGAAAAGTCTCCTTTCCCCACCTACACCCGAGTGCTGCTGCGTCTTAACCCGACCTACTTCTCACAGCAAAAAAGATAAAAACCGAACAGGAGGAAACGTTACCGAGCCGATAACAGCGAGAACGGGCACCCGGCACGGGGGTGTCGGCCCGGGCTTGTGCCCCGGGAAGATGCTGGAGAGGTCCCCACGGCCGGGGGCAGAACCCAGGGGTCCCTCCACGGCCAGGCACGTCCCAAGGGGGACTCCCAAGGCTGGGGGCAGATTCCGGGGGGGGGGCGGTGGGCAGATCCCGGAAATCCCTCCACGGACGAGAGCAGATGCCGGGGGAAGCCCCAGGCCGGGGCAGATCCCAGGGGAGACCCCCAAGGCCGGGGGGCAGATCCCAAGGGTCCATCCACGGCCCGGGGCAGATCCCGAGGGAGCGGTGGGCAGGTCCCAGGGGGGTCCCCCAGGGGCGGGGAGCGGCCAGGCCTGGCCGGGGGCGGAAGGCCTGGCCGCCCTAGGTGAAGCCCCCTCCTCCCGCCCACCCCAGGGCTCTCCCCCGGTGCGGAGTCCCCTCCCCGCCCCGCCCCAGGCTCCCGCGGTACTCACCTCGGCTCTCCCCGGCGCTCCGCGGGCGCTGCTGCCGGGCCGCCCCGCCGGGCCGCTGCCGCCGCTTCCGCTTCCGCTCCCGGGAGGGGCCGCACAGCGCGGCACCGGCGAGGGCGCCGCCTGCCGGCCCGGATGACCGGGCTGCGGGGGTGCGACACCCACCCGGGACACGGGGACAGGGACACGGGACACGGGACACGCTCCTCACCCCTTGCACGGGGGCCGGACACGCATACACACTGCACAATTAACGGGGGTCAGGTCTTGCAACCTCCCTCGTGCGCGGGACCCGCGCGTTTCAAAAATCTCGTTCACTCCCCCCCCCGATGCCACCATTTCCACATGGACACGCTGCCCACAGCAGAAAAAAAAAATAATAATTTCCCATCTGCTAATAACGAGTGTTCAGCACGGGGCACCCTCAGGCTCCAGGGCAGTGAGCCCCCAGACCTCCCCCAGGCTCCAGAGCAGTGATTCCCACAAAACACTCCCAGGCTCCAGAGCAATGAGCCCCCAAAACATCCACATGTTCCAGAGCAATGAGCCCACAAATCACAGGCTCCAGAGACATCCCAAAACACCCCCAGGCTCCAGTGCAGTCAGTCCCCAGACACTCCTCAGGTTCCAGTGAGCCCCCAAAACACCTCAAGGCTCCAGTGAAGCCTCAAAACACCACCGGACTCCAAAGCAGTGAGCCCCCCAAACATTCCCAGGCTCCAGAGCAGTGACTGCCCCAAAACACCGCACAGGCTCCAGTGACCCCTCAGCCACTCATTTCTCTGCACCTGAATTTCCAAACTAAAGCTCCCTTTTGTCAAGTGAAGTCTTTTTTGTCCCCCTATAAACCAGAAAAAACAACTTCGCTGCAGGTGCCCCCTGGTAAGTGCAGGTGCAGGTGGAATTCCTGGGTCACACTGGGACCTGAATGCTGTTTTTCCCCACATGCTGCCCCAAAGGGTATCTGGGGTTTGTGTTCCCAAATCAAGCAGCCTGGAGATCACTGCTACAGCTCTGCCCACCTTCTGCAGTAGCTGCACAGCCCCAGCAGTGGCAAAGGTTGGGAATCCTCCATCCAGGGCAGGCTGGGGCACGGGGTCCGTGTCTCCCACCGACGTGGAGATTCACACAGAAAACCCTAAGGCTGGAAGAGGTCGTGCCAAGCTGGGATGGAGGGAGAATGGATTTGCTGCTGGAATGAGGATGGATTTGCTGTTAGAATGAGGATGGCCATGGGCAAAGGGCTCTTGTATGAGCTGCTGAGGGAGCAAGGGGCATCATTTTTGGAAGTATCACCGTAATCAGTGCTGTCACTTTTTAGTCTTTTTATCACAGAATCATGGAATAGTTTGGGTTGGAAGGGACCTTACAGTTCATCTCGTTCCAACCATGAGCAGGGACACCTTCCCCTATCCCAGGTTGCTCCAAGCCCCATCCAACCTGGCCTTGGATACTTGCAGGGATGGGACACCCACAGCTGCCCTGGGCAACCTGTGCCCGTGCTTGGAGGTCTCGGGGCACGTAATAATGGCAGTGTAGGAGTTTAAAGAGGTTGGAGCACACAGGATTGGCATTTTCTACATTTCTATCCTCCTCCCCTGGTCACTGCTGAGATGGGGTTGGTCTCTTCTCCCATGTAAGGATAGGACAAGAGGAACAGCCTCAAGTTGCACCGGGGTAGGTTTAGGTTGGATATTAGGAAAATTTCTTCATTGAAAGGGTTGTAAAGCATTGGAAAGAGCTGCCCAGGGCAGTGGTGGGGTCCCCGTCCCCGGGGGGGATTTAAAAGCCATAGAGATGTGGCACTTGCAGACATTTAGCAGGTATCTTGTCAGTGCTGAGGGAACAGTTTACACTAACACACTAGTGCCCTCTTTCCAAGGACACTGTACTCTAAAACCTGCTGTGGGCTACTCGTTTACTTTGTTTTGATCAAGTTTCACACATTAAAAAACTGATAATGCTCTCTACATGTAATTTTTTTCCATGAACTTTTTAAGCATGAGTACCACTATAGGCAGTAATTCTTTCTACATATCTATCTATCTACCTATCTATCTATCTACATATATATATACACATATATGTACACACATATATTACGTGTCTCCCAAACTCTCCTTAATTTCTCAATAAATTCCTCTTATTTTCCGCCTTATTTTCTCAACAAATGTAATCAAGAGCATGAAAATGCACCAAGCTTTCGGTTTGGGAAGGGTTTTCCAGCCGAAACGACGCTGCGATTCCCCATCACGGCAGCCCCAGAGCTCCGAGGTCTCTGAGGGCTCTGAGGGGGCTCGGCCGCCCCCCCCCGCCCCGCCCCGCGCGCAGGCGCAGCGGGGCCGCCCCCGGCGGGCGCGCAGTGCGCAGGCGCGGGGAGCGCCCCCGGCGGTGCGGGACCATGGCGGGGCCCAGCCTGAGGCCGCACGTGCACTGGGCACAGCGGCACCGCCAGATCTTCCTCAGGGTGGAGCTCAGCGACGTGCGGGTACGGCGGGGGGACACCCCTGCGGGATACCCGGGGGGTGACACCTGGCGGGGAGGGGGGGGCGGGTAAGGACTCCCCTGCGGAGAGGGAGGACGCAGGGGGACACACCTGAGGGACAGCCGGAGGGAGGACACCTGGGGGACACCCCCGTGAGGGGACACTCGGAGGGGGACAGCTGGGTAAGGACACCTGCGGGACACCCGGGGGGTGACACCTGCGGGACAGCCGGCGGGAGGACACCTGGGGGACACCCCCGTGGGGGGACACCCACAGAGGGACACCTGGAGGCACCTGCGGAGGGGGGACACCCGGGAGAGACTCACCTGCAAGGGGTGGGGGGGAGAGACTCACCTGGGGACCCCTATGGGGAGATTCCCGAAGGGGGACACCTGGGAGCATCTGAGGGGGAGTGACACCTGGGGATACCCTGGAGGGACTCACCTGCAAGGAGCGGGGGAGACTCACCTGGGTACCCGTGGGGAGGGGGATACGTGTGGGACACTCAGGGGGGAGTCACTTGCAAGGGGGGAGACTCACCTGGGGGGACTCACCTGGGGACACCTAGGGACACACACCTGTGGGACCCTCGGGCAGACTCACCTGGGGACCTCCCCGGGGGCTGTCCCTGCCCACAGGCAGCAGCAGTGGTGGGGTCTGTGCTCAGGGTCCGGGGAGGGCTGTGCTGGCGTGGGGTGACAGGACCCCCATATGTGGGTGGGTGGGTGCACTGACCCCTGTGGGCGTGGGAGCTGCCACCTAACACACGTCCTCCCTCTGCAGAACCCGGACATCACCATCACCGACAATGTCCTGCACTTCAGAGGTAGGGGTTTCACTGGGGAGGGTCTCAGCCTGCCCCCTCCCTGCTGTCCCAGGTGTCCCCACCATGAGCTGCCTGGTCCCCATCCTGGCAGGAGCCTCCCTGACAGGCATGTTGGGATCTGTCAGGCTCCCACCCACAGCCCTCTGTGTTCCAGCCCTGGGAACTACATCAAGCCCTATCTTATCTAACAAGAAAACCCCAACCTCCCTATATTTAAATCCTAGTGGAATTTCCATATATCCTTCCTGTCCCTGGTCAGCCAAACCCCAGAGAGAACTCCTAGCAGCTTTTCCTTTCACAAAGACCTTGTGTGCAACTGTTATCGAGCCTCCACATCAGGAACTAGGGCTCCATTTGGAAGGTAAAGCAGATCTTGCCCTCAAAGATGTTTTTTGGGCAGCTGGACAGCTGCACATTCCAGTACTGTGGAGCTGGTGCTGGTTGGCATGTTTGGGTAGTGCTGTGGACCTGCTGTCACTGCTTTTATTGGGTTTTCTCTTTTATTTCTCCTGAATTTCTTTAAGATGCCTCATCCAGGAGCTGCTGCCTCCCTGGTGTGCTGCAGCCAGGCCATTTGATAGGGGGTGTTCCGCACCGTCTTCACTTTGGGATCAGTTTACAGCGTGGAAGGGTGGGAATTAAACACAGTGCAGGGGTTTGGAGCCCTTCTGGGGACGAGACCAGTGTGGGAAATGAGGAATTACCCCATTTCCTGGTGTTGGGAGGGCCTCCCCACATCAATCCTACAAGCCCAGCAGGCACCCCTCTCCCTGGGTGCTCTTTCACCAGTGCAGAGCCTGAATCCCCCAGGGCAGGAGATTTCAGCTGGATTTGAGTTAGCCATGAACAGCCTTTTGAATCCCTCTTTTGGGAATCTGACACTGCCTCCCTGCAGCAGGGACCCTTTTCCAGGGGTGCAGACTTACAGCAGCTTTAGCTGCCGACTCCTGCTCTGCCCCTCCAAGCCGCATTTTGGGCTCTTGGTGTCTTCCCCATTGTCTTGTGGTTTCCTCTTATCTCCCAGCAAGGTGGGGGAAGTGCTGTGAAATAACTGCTGAATATTTCTGTGTGTGAAGCCTCCTCTGCAGGTGGGGTGTGTGGAACTGTCTGGGACCTTCACACTGACTTGATTCTTGTCTTTAGCTCAGGGTCATGGTGCCAAAGGGGACAACATCTACGAATTTGAGATCGAGTTCCTTGAGCCTGTCGAGCCTAAAGTAAGTATTTTTACTTTTCTAACTCCTGAAAGGAAACTGGCTGTGTGCTGTGTCCATAATATGCCTTTTAGGTTTTCCTGGTGACTCCATAACTGTTGCAAACTCCAAATTGTCTGTGGCATTCTTCCATCCCAGTGCTCAGCCACATTCCTGTCTTACTGCAAATCACCTCACTGGAGCTGGTGCTCCCATGGGTCAGCTCTAACAGACACAGGGCCTTGCTTGTATGGCTTGTTAAACAGCAGTTTTAAGTTTTTGTAAAGATTTAAAGCAGCAAAATAATGGGAGAATCCAGCAATGTGTTGTCTGATGCAACCCCAACTGGAGAGCAGGGGAACACTGTGCTGCAAAGTGTCAGTGGTGATGTTTTATGGCTTTTGCAGCTTTGACAAAAGGCAGAAAGTCATGAGAACTCATGTTTTCTGGCTTGTGCAGGTTTCTTAGGTTGTGATACATTGTGGCTCCTGTTGTAGAAATGTTCCCCTAATCCCTGTTGCAGCCTGACAGGAGAGAGCTTGCCTGCAAGAGCCGTCCCTCTGAGCTACTCACAAGTGGGTGGAAGGTCTGTCCTTGCCTCCCAGAGCTGTCAGGGAAAAGGAGAACTCTGGGCTGTGCTACCAGGGCAGGATTTGTGCTGCTTGTTCCTGGCTGACTTGGGGATAGAGCCACCATTGACCTCTGCTGCTCCAACAAGGGAGGAGATGCCGGAGGGTGAATTCCCAGGGTCTGCCAGCAGGCAGCTTTGTGGTGTGGCTCCTGCCACCTGTGGGTGGCAGACAGTGAACAGCTCCTGGTTCCAGGGTCTGGCCACCACTTTGTCACCTGCCTGGCCCCCAGTGTGGGAGAGGTGCCTGTCACTGCCTGTGCTTGTCCCCTGTGCTGGCAGACGTGGGCTCTGCTGGGAGCCAGGCCTGGAAGGCAAGTCCTTGCCTCTGTAGAGCTGCCTCCTTCCAAAAGTCTGTGAGTCACCATGAGTCACTGTGGGGGGACTGGAGGAGAACAGACTGAATTCTGTGCAACCACAGATGGTTGGGACTGGGAAGTATCACAGTCCAAGGTTTTCTCCTTTAGATTTGATGTGTACCGTGAGTTCCCATGGCTGGTGCCAGGCTGGCCAGCAGTGAGATGGAGCCTCTGGCAGGCAAGGACGAAGCACAGCAGCTGTAAATTACAGCTGCAGCCTTCAGATGTCTGAGGAGCATCCAGCCAGCCCTGACAGGGCAGTGCTGGGGCAACGTGCTCAGTTAAGGACACAGCTCCTGGCTCTGCTGCAGCACTTTCAGCTGGTCTGATAGGCAGTGCCACCCAGAGCAGCCTTGAGGTGCAGAGGGATGTGATGGGGGCAGCAAGGGTGGGCTCCAAGAGGACAATGCCATGGGCTATAAGGTTGGAGAGGTCCTGGGCTGCCACTGTGCAGAGGGGTGACAGTGACCACACTGTTGTCTCCAGATGTTCCCTAAGGCTGTGAACTCTTCCTCTCACTGCAGCAGATGTCATGTGGGGTCCCCTGTTTCGGACACATCCCTGGGGCTGCTGCCAGTGTTGTTTTTACCTCTGGCTGGAAGAAGTGTGTGGCTCACAGCACTAAGGTCTAAAGCCGAGATTATGGGTTCTGCCTAGGAAGGCTGGCTCTGGGGT